TTGTTTTACTGTTTCACTGTTTCATTGTTTCACTGTTTCATTCTTTGATTGTTTCACTGTTATACTGCTTCCTCTGTGAGGAGGAAGAGGAATATCATAACAGAAGAATTGTACATTTAACTGATGAAAAAAAAGATCAACAATAATAATCACAAGATGTTTTTTTGACAATTCAATCAACATGAATGTTTTCAAATTAACACGAATAAAAACATATTTTAATGTGAAGTCAGACATCAGAAGAGAAACAGTAGATTCATGTGAGAGTAGAAAGGATTTCACAAACCAAACGCTGTAAAACGAGTCGACCTGAAACACTTTAACTCTGTTAAAGCTGAGCGTTTGTGTACAACTTTATCTTTTTCCAGCACGAGCTGATTGAAACCAGATGTGGAGGAAAGACGAGAGGTGTTTAAAGAAAGAAAAGAGGAATATTTTCCTGCTGCAGCCGCTGATGTGACTTAAAGCAACAACGACCTGTCCCACTGATTATATGTGGACACAATAACAGGAACACCTCCACACAAACAGAGTCAATGAATAATTAGTTTTTATTGTATTTATTTACAAATTCTGAATTCTTTTTTTATATTTTATTTTTCTATTCTGACTTTTTATTGTTTTTATTTATTTTTTATTCAGATTTTTTTTTTCACGCTGTAATATTGCTCAAGCTGAACTGTGACTCAGTGTTGAAGTATGATTTTATAAATTAAGCTCATTGAGCAGCTGAGTTCTGGATGTTTGATTGACAGCTCTCTCTCTCTCTGTGTCTGCAGGCCGGTGTGATCCGGACGAGTCAGGAGGAGTTCTTCATCGAGCCGCTGGATCATTGGAGGAGGAGAGAGGAGGAAGGAGGAAGACGGCACATCATCTATCGCTCCTCGGCGATCATCAAAAAAGAACCGGCTGTCAATCAAACTGAAGCCGTCCATCAAACAGCTGGTGACTTCGTCCGAGGTGAGTCACAGTCAGCTGACTTCATCAACACAAACTAACTTTATTTACCTCATTGACCCGAACACACCTGGTGATCACGTGACCATGTTGACCTCGTTGTAAACAAACATGGAGGTTCGCTTTGAATTAAGAAACTCAAATATAAAATCTAATTAAAACAAACAGGCTTCTTGCTGTCCTAAGACTCTTCAGATTATTTTATGTTTTGTCATTTGATTTATTTTATTGATTCCTGTCGGGATGTAATGAGAATATTATAAAATAATAGTAACATTATTCAGTGTAGCTTCAATGGAACCAAAAGACGGTGAAGCTGCTGAAAAATATCTGCTGTGTTTCTGCAGAAGGAAAGAATCAAACTGAAAAGAGAGAAATAGTTCCAGGAAACTTGGCAGAGACACACACACACACACTGCAACGTGGCAGTCCGAGCTTCAGAGTCTCAGGGTTTTGGAGGTTTTGGAGGTTTTGGACTCAGAGTTGATGGATAGTTCAGCTCCTGAATCGTTTGTCCTCTCGGTCGCTGACATCTGTTTGTCCTCAAAACAGCTTCAGCCAATGAGGAGCGTGTATTCTTTCACCTCAGCTCAACTCATACAGAGTGACATCAGAGGGTCTGATGTCACGTTTTCATAAACACAACATCCATATGAGCAGGATTAAATCTGAGGAGGTATTAGTGGATGAAACACATCAACAGTTTTACAGAACATCAGTGTTGTTGGAACCAAAGATACAAATAAATGTGAATCCAGAGAGAAACGATCATGAACGTACTTATTCTCTGTTGTTCTGTTCATCTTCCTTCTTTCTGTCAATAACTTGACTCACGAGTCACGTGACAAAATGTCAATGTTTACGTCCTCTTGGGACATGGCGCCGGACTCCTGGACGGTCTCCTAGAAGGTCAACTTGGACGGTCTCCGGGACGATCTCCTTGATGGTCATCCTGGACGGTTGTCTTGGACGATGTCCTGGAAGGTTGTCTTGGACAATCTTCTGGACGGTCTCCTGGATGGTCATCCTGGAACGGTGTCCTGGACCGTCGTCCTGGACCGTCGTCCTAGTCGGTCTCCTGGACGGTCTCCTGGACCGTCGTCCTGTACCGTCGTCCTGGACGGTCTCCTGGACGATCGTCCTGGACAATGGAAAAGCAAAGGGAGACTTACTGGACGAACATCAGCTCAGTAAAAACAGAACCCCTCAGTTTTATACGGACACTGAGATCACTCTTTTGTTCTTCTGCAGGTCCTCTTTTAGGTTCTCTGGACTGGAACCAGAATGTGATGTGGTCCGGATCCAGATCAGCTCGACGAAGACGCTACATTGAAGAGGCTGAACTGTTTAACATAGAGGTTAATGAACTGTTTAACTTAATGGTTAATGAAATGTTTAACATAGAGGTTGGATTAGAATGTAGATTTTACTGAACTTGTTCAAACTATTTTCCTCTTCCAGGTTTTGTTGGCTGTGGATTATTCTGTTCTTCTTTTCCACGGCCGAGATCACATTCAGAAATATCTTCTGACACTCATGAACATAGTGAGTGAAAACACACATTTGTATTTCAGTGGTAAATGTAGGTGAGTCTTGTTGTACCTGTTGATGGAAGGTAAACTCAGAGATGAGCTAATCATGTACAAATCCACAAAGCTCATGTAGACCGGATGGTCAAACTCCCATGACCCCTGCAGTAAAGAACTGGTTCACCAGAGATAAGGTTTCCCAGATTTACCTCCATACAAACCAAAAAAGGGGGAACCTCCATCCCTGATCACCCATGAACCAGAACCTTCTGCATCTCAGTGTGAATGTAATCCAGTCCTGGCTCTTTGATATCGCATCTCAACAACCTCCGTCACCAGAACCAGAGAGAAGTCCGGCTGTATTATTATCCAACTCATCCCTCTCAGAAGCTGCAGTCCATCTGGCCTCTTTACCTCTCTGACTCAGGTGTGTCCTAGTCTTTTGAGACTGGAAGGTTTTCTTTTTCAGTTTTATACTTCATCGACTTCCTTTTATCCTTGTGGGTCATTGCGCCACCACAACAAAGAGTGATGAGCCTCAGGAAATGTTCTTCTAGAGGTGGGAGGTACGAAGCCTCAGCCAGATGTTCCTAGTTCAGCCTCACAACATGTTTGGATTTGCTTGAGTCTGTGGAGAGCTTTGCCTCATTAGAAAGGACAGCAGGACACAGGAGGACATCAGTGTAAGACAGGAAACAGCCAACATCTGGACGTCCAACAATGCACCCTAAAAAAAGGTCCATCGATACCTTGAGCACCAATCACAAATGTGCCGAGAGGTCCAGTCCACCTGACCTTTCTTTGATCTTGAGTTGAGGCCCCCCACCAGGTGTGAAACAATCACCTTTGAACCCTGCCAAGTTTGGACCCAGGACAGGGGGGCCCTGATTTACTGTTATCTTTGCCTTATCATGAACTGGTACTGTGCGACACTCAACAGGACCCCCCCCCCCCCTACCAATGAAAAGGTAGAAATTTGGGGTTAATGTTCTTGCATTTCCCCAAATTTAGAAAAGATGGCTGGAGATGGTTCAATATATTTACAGCAGCTCTCTCTGTCTGTTTTCAGGTTAATGAGATCTATCAGGATCATTCTCTGGGCACCAACATCAACGTTGTTCTGGTCAGAATCATCATGTTGTCTCCATCAAAGGTACTAAACTCAAAGCTGATGAAGGTTTCTGGTACGATAGTGACTTCCAGGTGTCCACGTAGAGACAATAGTGACTTCCAGGCGTCCACTTAGGGACAATAGTGACTACCAGGTGTCCACGTAGGGAGGCTAAAGACCTCCAGGTGTCCACGTAGGGATGATAGCGACTTCCAGGTGTCCACGTAGGGATGATAGTGACTTCCAGGTGTCCACATAGGGAGGCTAAAGACTTCCAGGTGTCCGCGTAGAGACGATAGCGACTTCCAGGTGTCGACATAGAGACGATAAAGACTTCCAGGTGTCCACGTAGAGACAATAGTGACTTCCAGGCATCCAATTAGGGACAATAGTGACTACCAGGTGTCCACGTAGGGAGGCTAAAGACTTCCAGGTGTCCGCGTAGAGACGATAGCGACTTCCAGGTGTCCACGGAGGGATGATAAAGACTTCCAGGTGTCCACATAGAGACGATAAAGACTTCCAGGTTTCCACGTAGACGATACACCTCTCTGGTCACCACTGTAATGCAATTTTGTGTTTGCTTCAAAAGATTAGTATTTGTTGAGTCCAGTTTTAAGTACTTTTCGCATACTCGCACATTAACACCCTGCATTTATGCTCGGGGGAATCAAAAACAAACACCAGTGTCCGTCCATCAGTCCCAGGAGCTGATCTCTGTGGGGAACCCTCAGAAGAGCCTGGAGAACGTCTGTGGATGGTCGTATCTCCAGCACCGGGAGCAGAATCACGCCGAGCAGCACGACCACACCATCTACCTGACCAGGCAGGAGTTTGGCCCTTCTGGCATGCAGGGTACTTCTGCTAATACCTCCACTAATACTACAAGTACTCAAAACCATCTTCTACCCGAGGAGGAGCTAGGCCTCCTCCGGCATGCAGGGAAGTACTGATGATACTACTAGTAAAGCTACAAATACTGCAACCGCTAACACTTTCTACCTTCGCCATGCAGGGTACTTCTGCTAATACCTCCACTAATACTACAAGTACTCCAACTAACAACATCTACCTGATGAGGAGTTCGTCCCATCCGAAAAAGAAGGGAAGTAGTAATAATACTACCTCTACTGCTTTAAGTACTAGTACTAACACAATTTGGCTGCCTTGGTATGCAGGGTACTACTGCTAATAGTACCACTAATAACACAAGTACTACTACGAACACCATTTACCTGACATCTGCCCTCTCTCTGTAGGTTATGCTCCAGTTACAGGAATGTGTCACCTGCATCGGAGTTGCGTCCTCGTCTTTGAAGACGGGTTTTCCTCGGCCTTTGTAGCTGCTCATGAAATGGGACACGTGTGAGACACAAACACACATTTACACTAACTGCACATTAATATGGCTCTCAGCAATAGAGACTTCCAGGTGTCCACGTAGAGATGATTGTGACTTCCAGGTGTCCAATACTTCTAGGTGGCCAATGACTGACTGTCTCTCTCTCTCTCTCTCTCTCTACCTGTCTGTCTCTCTCAGGTTAGGGATGGAGCATGACGGAGAGGCCAATGACTGTGCTGACGACGTGCCGTTGGGCAGCATCATGTCCCCGAGGGTTCAGGCCACCTTCCATCAGTACCACTGGTCCCGCTGCAGCTGGAGGGAGCTGCACAAGTACCTGCAGTGAGTACTACAAGTAATACTACATGTACACTCATTGTACATCTACCACCTGAACCAGAACACCGTCTGTATCTCTGTCTGTCTGACTCTCTGTCTGTCTCTCCAGTACCTACGACTGTCTCCGTGACGACCCGTTCAACCACGATTGGCCGGCTCAGCCTCAGTTACCAGGGTTTCAGTACTCACTGGACCAACAGTGTCGCTTTGACTTCGGACCAGGATACAGCCTCTGTACTGGAGTATGTCTGTCTGTCTGTGTATCTGTTTGTCTGTCTGTCATTCCGCCTGTCTGTCTCTCTGTACTGCAGTTAGTCTGTCTGTATGTATGTCTGTCTGTCTGACTCTCTGTCTCTCTGTCTGTTTGTCTGTCTGTCTCACTGTCTGTCTCTCGCTCTGTCTGTCTCTCTCTCTCTCTGTCTGTGTGTATGTCTGTCTGTCTGACTCTCTCTCTCTCTCTCTCTCTCTGTCTCTCTGACCTGTCTGTCTCTCTCAGTGACGTGCGGTGAGGTTCGTGGCTGGCGAACCTCACCAACCTGTTTTCAGAAGCGGAGCGCGAGATCCCGCGATAATCTGTGTAACAACCACGGATTTCTAAACAGAACAACAAACACATACAAAGAAAGTTACTTTTCCTGTCCGCCGTTGAATTGCTGTTGATTTGGTCATATTTCCCTGTTTAAGCTTAGATATTTGAACAAGCATGAACCCAACCCGTGGGCTCTCACATTTTACATGGAAATTACATTTATATTTATAGCACAGATCAGTAGATAAATATTATTTTTTTTAATTTTATTATTATTTGTTTTTTACTTTTCATGATGACAGGTGAGGCTCTGCCTCCCCTGACCGCACGTCCCTGGTCTCTCTCTCTGTCTGCCTGTCTCTCTCTCCGTCTCTCTCTCTGTCAGTATGTCTGTCTCTCTGACCTGTCTGTGTCTGTCTCTCTGTCTCTCCGTCCCCGTATCATCCATCTTCAGTAGAACTGAGTTTGTCTCCATAGAAAACATCTGGAGACAATGAACCGTCCTGTTTTTAGTCCACTGTTCTCATCACATGTGTTGTTGAAGACACATCTGTTCAGGATGTGACACGTTTGATGACATCAGAGTTACTATGATGTCATCTTTGTCCCCAGTACTCCAACCTTGAACCCTGTAAACAGCTGTGGTGCAGCGACTACAACAACCCGTTCTACTGTAAGACCAAGAAAGGTCCTCCGCTGGACGGGACCAAGTGTGGACCGGGGAAGGTGAGGACACCTCCAGGTCAGACATAGCATCTTAGCATGCTAACAGGTTAAAACTAAGATGGTGAACATGATACCTGCTGACCATTAGCATGTTAGCATGCTAACAGGCTGAAACTATATATTTTAATTCAGCAATGTCCCCCTGCCTCCTGTCTTTATGCTAAGCTACGCTAACCTTTGTCTCTTTGCAGCACTGTTTTAAGGGTTTCTGCATGAAGTTGACCCCCAACCTGCTGAGACAAGATGGCGGCTGGGGAACATGGAGTCCGTTCGGCGGCTGCTCCAGGACCTGCGGGGGCGGGGTCAGGTTTCGGGCCCGACGCTGTGACACTCCAGCGTGAGTCAGCTGTCAATCATCTGATGATGTCACAGACCAAAGCCACCAATCAGACGCTTAACCTGTTGTTGTTCTCAGTCCAACCAATGGGGGGCGCACCTGCTTCGGAAACAGTTTCGAGTTCCAGAAGTGCAGCCAAGAAGAGTGTCCACCTCTGACTGACTTCAGGTCAGTAGATTGTGTGTGTGTGTGTGTGTGTGTGTGTGTGTGTGTGTGTGTGTGTGT